GTGAAGATCTCCTAAACTTGCGCAGTTTAGGAGATATTCACAGCTGCAGCAGAAGTGGCAATGGCGCATGCGCAGTACACTCTGCATTGAGAATACACTGAGTGTGCCCTCAATGCAGAGCATTGTGCCGTGATCACGGATCACATGTGCATGCACGGGAGTGACGTCATCGCAGCCCAGCCATTCAAAAGGCAGGAGCGTGTGGACCTAGAAGAAAGATCGGGTGAAGGTGGAAGCATCTGCAGTGGTGATAGTGGATAGTCACTGGAGGTCTGCATTCAACCACTTGCCCTCCAGAGGATCCCCCCCCCCCTTTCCTGAGCAGGCCATACGGCAATACGGTGCTGCGTTACTTTAACCACTTGCCTTCTGCTTTATAAACGGCAGGACGGTGGCACTCCAGGGGCGGGTTGCGGTTCATAAATGGCACCCGCCATTTCTAGCTGTGCGCGCTCCCTGGGAGCACGCAGCACCACGATCCGGTGCCTGCTCTGTCCTCCGGACACAGTGAAACACCAATTGTTGGACAGGACCTCTGTACGAGGTCCCGATCATGTCATCACTGATTGGCCAATCAGTGATCCCATGCAAAGTAGTAAGCAAGATGTCACTTGTGACATCATTGCTTACTACGTGTGAAATCTGTGAATGATCACAGAGATCACATGGTACAAGGCTATTCACAACAGCCTTGTACCATGTGACAAGCTGTGACCAATCACAGCTCACTCAGTAGTTCTCAATGGCTGCAAGAATGCAGACAGAGAGAAAGAGAAATGATTGCTTTTACATCCTATATGGGTGTAAAAGCAATCACTGTAAAAAAAAAAAAAAAAAAAAATCTTCATCACCCCACCACAAGTAGGGCGACTGCTAGGGTGACAGTATGTAAAAAAAACCCATAAATAATAATATACAAAAATTAAATAAAAATGTAAAAAAAAAAGTTTAATAATTATAAATTTTGGTTATAAACTAATTTGGCTTATTTTTTTTTTACTAAAAAGATAACGGAATACATTTTGGCCGAGATTTATGATGAAAGATTATTTATTTGCAAAATTTTATAAGAAAAACACTTTTTTTTAAAATTTTTGGACTTTTTCATTTACACAGCAAAAAAAAAAATAAAAATCCCAGCGGTGAATAAATACCACCAAAATAAAGCTTTATCTGTCTCAAAAAAATGGTAAAAAATTCATATGGGTACAGTGTTGCATGACCGCGCAATTGCCATTCAAAGTGTGATAGCGCTGAAAGCTGAAAATTGCCCTGGTCAGGAAGGTGGTAAAAGTGTCCGGACACGAAGTGGTTAACTGACAATTGCGCAGTCATGCAATGCTTCACCCAAAGGGAATTTACGTCCTTTGTGCCTGTGCATTTTTTGGTTTTTTTTGCGCTATATAAAAAAAAAAAAGACAATTTTGAAAAAAAAAACTGTATTTTTGACTTATTGCTATTAAACATGTCCAGTAAAAAAAATTTAAAAAATCTAATTTTGCCATAAATTTAGGCCAAAATGTATTCTGCTCCATGTCTTCGCTAAAAAAAAAATCCCAATACGTGTAAATTAATTGGTTTACGTAAACCAATGGCGGTATAGATACTGGAATTTTACTAGCAATGGTGGCAATCAGCGACGAGCATTCTGACACTGGGGGCGAAACTGACTTGGTGTCACTGACATCCCCAGTGACACCAAGACAGTGATCAGTTCTAATAAAAAGCACTGACACTGTACTAATGGCACTGGGCAGGAAAGGGTCAACGTGTGGGGAGATCAAAGGGTTAATTGTGTGCTGTTTTACTATGAGGGCTGTGTGTGTGTTTCACTGCTGCTATGCAGAGCCATACAAAGCAGTGTTCAGGAGCTGACGGGAGAGATCTGTGTTGTTTACATACAGGTCTCTCCCCCATTGGAAATCCTTGGAGATAGCTGGGTGCCGGCAGGAAATCACCGGCCGGGACCCAGTGATTGACAGCCGAAGCTGAGAATGGTGGAGTGGGTTCCCTATCCGGAACTGCAAAATCACACATATATATATATATATATATATATATATATATATGTGATTGTGTGCACCCGTGCTGCCCTGTAGCAGTATTTCTGCTACAAGGAAGCATGGAAGCAGTTAAAGTGTAAGTGTATCATAACATGCAGGACGGTGGTGCATACTTGCACATTATGGCATTAGCCTGCAGGGAGGCTGGCATTTTTTTTTTTATATTATGGTTTCCGCTTTAATATGGAGGACAGAAATGTAAAGAGTCCGGGCCAGCCGCTCATATGAGGGTCTTGGAAAGGTACAGTGGATTGCCAGGAGCTAAGATTAAGTAGATGTTCTGAATGTTAGTCCCGATACATTAACCTCCCCCCATTGATTTTATGTCTTTTGTGCTTTTTGTATAATGTACAGATAACACTTTGGCAATAACTATTTTTTTTTAAATGAAATGCTCATGTTTAGCATCAATAAACCGAACAAGTAATAAATGAATTATTGTTCTCCAGAAGCCACATCTCAGATATTTACAAATGAGCGTCCTCGGATCCCTCCAGTGTTCTGTCCCCTGACAGAAGGAATGCCCTCTCCAGTATCTGCAATTAAATATTGATAAAAACCAACATATCCACAGCACCATGTGTTAACGGGAAGTCTTCAGAGGAGGAAAGTGATAGAGAGAGACAATTGTTTCATATTATTCAATAATAATAAGGGATAATGATTTGCACTTCATTGGATAACAATAATAAATGGGATTTTGTACCCCAGCTATAAATTGTGAGGATAAAATTAATTTGCAAAGGATCATAAAATATCAAAGTGAGACAAAGTGCGTTGTCAGTGAGTCTATACAGTAACCCATTGAAGTGTTGCGTGTTCCCACTTTTTGGTGATTTTGCAGCAAAATGGGAAAGTATCAATAGCCCCCATTTCTGATTTTTTTTCAATAGAGTAGGAAAGGGTTAACACCCCATGTGAGGTATTATATGAGAAGTGAACCTGAGGTATATCTACTAAATGCCAACATCCTGGAGTTTGCATGTTCTCCCTGTGCCTGCGTGGGTTTCCTCCGGGTATTCCAGTTTCCTCCGACACTCCAAAGACATGCTGGTAGGTTAATTGGATCATGTCTAAATTGGCCCTAGTATGTGTATGTATAAATGTAAGTTAGGGACCTTAGATTGTATGCCCCTTGAGGGTTAGGGACTGATGGGAATGTACAATATATATGTAAAGCGCTGTGTAAATTGATGGCACTATATACAGTGGGGCAAAAAAGTATTTAGTCAGCCACCAATTGTGCAAGTTCTCCCACTTACAAAGATGAGAGAGGCCTGTAATTGGCATCATAGGGAGACCTCAACTATGAGAGACAAAATGAAAAAACAAATCCAGACAATCACATTGGCTGATTTGGAAAGAATTTATTTGCAAATTATGTGTCCACAACCTCAAACAGTCACACTCCAATCTCCACTATGGTGAAGACCAGAGAGCTGTCGAAGGACACCAGAAACAAAATTGTAGACCTGCACCAGGCTGGGAAGACTGAATCTGCAATAGGCAAGCAGCTTGGTGCGAACAAATCAACTGTGGGAGCAATAATTAGAAAATGGAAGACATACAAGACCACTGATAATCTCCCTCGATCTGGGGCTCCACGCAAGATCTCACCCCGTGGGGTCAAAATGATCACAAGAACGGTGAGCAAAAATCCCAGGACCACACGGGGGACCTAGTGAATGACCTGCAGAGAGCTGGGACCAATGTAACAAAGGCTACCATCAGTAACACACTACGCCGCCAGGGACTCAGATCCTGCACTGGATTTTTTTTCTCATTTTGTCTCTCATAGTTGAGGTCTCCCTATGATGCCAATTACAGGCCTCTCTCATCTTTGTAAGTGGGAGAACTTGCACAATTGGTGGCTGACTAAATACTTTTTTGCCCCACTGTAAGTACCTGAAATAAATAAACATCCCTAAGATGCAAATTTATATAGGAGAAAACAACCCCCCCCCTAGATGGGACTTTAAATGCATCACCAAAAATATGTACAAATTACATCAATCTTTATTGACGAATAATAACCATTGAATAGGCGGTGATATAGTAACTAAATACAGTGACACCATACTGAATTATGTCGATATAACAGAGTTCCTAAATAGCATCCAACGCGTTTCAGAGTAAATTTACTCCTTCTTCAGGGTCGAAACTCTGTGCATGATACATGGCCTCTAAAGACTGAAACACATGTATTACAGCCATACAATAATTATATCAACAATTGTAAACAATATTGCTATATTACCTACAGTATATACCTAGTTCCCTCAACCCTATCCAAGTTCTCCAAAAATAAAAACAACAAAAAAACAATACCCCCAGACAGGTCATTGAAGAAACGTGAATGAGCCTGTGTGCCTGTCTGCAGAGTGAAGATTGTGGGAAACCTCAACAGTATTCCTGTGGCTCCTACGGGAGTAGAGCTCCATAATACAAAGCTTTCAGTGAATGGGTAAGAGGAGAGGAGGAGAAGGCTGTGGAGTTTGTGGCTGCTGTATAGGAAAACTGAAGGCAGGCCCAGAACAATGGGTGCGCAGGAGGGGCAACAGCACCAGGCACAGACGTAGGGGGCCACCACCTCACTACCCACACACTCCAGATCAATGGCTGGTAACTAGCAGGCCACACGTAATATGTGCTTTCACTACTACTGCTCCGGAATGCCCACTCTCCACCCCATCTGCCCACAACTGTGCATGTTTAACTTTCTCCTAGCTATTGGGAAGCAAGTAATTGGACATACATGTGCAGTTCACACTCCATGGCAACTATGAGCAGCTGGAGTAAGGTGGCAGAAAATGGGCCCAGGGTGGTACAACTGTACTATGACATGCATTAGCACTTGGGGAGGGGCCTGCATTAGCAGGTTCATGCAGCACCTGGCCACAGCTGCTGCATGAACCTGCCCCAGTAGTATTATCTGAAGCAGGGGTGGACTGACCATTCGAGCACTCAGGCACTGCCCGAGAGCCCGGGGTCAGAAGGGGGCCCAATGAGATGCTCTTGGTACCTTTTTCATTGGCTTTTTCATATTTTTTGGGTGTGGGTGAGGACACAGGGGCCCCATGATCCCCTATTGCCCGGGGGGCCCTTGAGTTGTCAGTCCGCCCGTGATCTGAAGGTCTCCTTGACGGAGCATCAGAAGAGTATAAATTCTTCATGCTTTGGGATTACCACTGCCACATTAGTGTACTGTTTATTTTTCCATAAATTCCTGGAAGAGATGTTGTCTTGCCTGGTCTCTTTAAATTACTAACATTCAGTAAGCTGACATAAATTCCTGGAGGTCCCACTAAGCTGGAACAATAGTTGGAGGGTTCCCCAGTGGAGAGGCAGCAAAGCAGCATGGGACATTGACTTTATCTAGCTGGGGACGACACTGCCACTTTGTCCTAAATTAATGTGTAGGTGACCTAAGTTCACTGCCAAACTGGCCAAGTCTACCTCCCTTGTTCTCCTAACCGCAGGACGTGAACAGGATGCACGCATACCTGTATTAGGAAACCAGTCTGCCCTCTTGGCTGTTCCTGTTCTCAAGGCCAAGTCTACCTCCCTTGTTTTCCTAACCACAGGACGTGAACAGGGTGTATACATACCTGTATTAGGAAACCAGTCTGCCATCTTGGCTGTTCCTGTTCTCAAGGCCAAGTCTACCTCCCTTGTTCTCCTAACCGCACGTGAACAGGGTGCACGCATACCTGTATTAGGAAACCAGTCTGCCATTTGGCTGTTCCTGTTCTCAAGACCTTCGTCCCAAATTTCATATACATGAGGATCTCCAAACAAGTTGTCTACACCAATTCTAATTCTAAGCTTTTCTAATGCTTTACTTGAACCACAACAGAACTTTGCCAAGCTCTTTTCCCTCTTCTCCAGCACTTCACACAACTTCGAGAACCAGGGCTTTCACAGTCTTTCCAAAGTACCAAATTTCTACAACTACAATCCTTAATTTAGGTCCATACCAGTAGGAATGTCCCAAGGCCTGCCCCAGAGGGGCTTCTTCTCCACTTTCCTTCAGCCTACTTAATGCATCCAAGACCAGTTATTCCCACATGTCTCTGAATTTCCACCCAGGGCTGTATTATCACACAGGCAGGGGCCCCAGGTGCATGGTGGGCCCCTGTAGTTTCCCCTCCCCTTCAACAAGGGGAATTGCATTTGGACAGAGCGAACGGGTGATCAGTGCACTGGGTAGGGAAAATAACTGGAACTGACCTACTGTGTGGCTCTCACTGCAGCAGTTGAAAGCTGGCATCTCCTGCTCCCTCTTGCTGGCTTTCAGTTGCTGCAGGGTGAGCCACAAAAGATTTGTTCCAGTTATTTCCCCTACCTGCCACACTGTCCACCCCCTCCTGTGAGGGAGGAAAGGGGATGGTAAATATATAATTTACTGGCCCCTTCCTTTTCTGAATGATACTGTGCTCATTCGTAACTGAGGCATAGTAAGCTGTGTTTACTATGCTTCAGTTATGAATTAACTGGAGCCTCTGTCTCCTGTTCATTCATCTGCAGAGCAGCTTAGGCTGCAGAAAGGAACTGGGGAATGTTTCCTCAGCCCCTTTCTCTGTCTCCAAATTGAAACTTCAGGGGTCTGTTTAGACCATTAGTTTCTTACTACATGTTCCCCCAACAGCTTTGTGAAAAAAAATTAAAATTTTTTTTTTAAAATATTGTGATAAAAAATAATTAAACATTTTAAAATATCAGACTAAAATTTCTAATCAGAGTGAAAAGCCACGCACAATATGTAGCATAATTTAGCCACACCCACTGCTTGCTGCAGCACGACACAGGTCACCATCTCCATGGTAGAGTCCTTAGCACATTACTTTGCTCAGAAGCCCTTGATGCTCCTAAGGTGGAACTGATTCCATCCCAAGCAGACATTATATAGAACTACAGGGTGACCCACCCTCTTGACACACCCCTATGCAGGACCTAATTATGCAGGAGCTTAACTCCTGCCTACAAGTGGGAGTGCAGTGGGTGTGCCCATGGTTGGGGGTTAAAATTGGCCCGGAGATGGGCGTTGAGAACCCCGAAAATATGAGGTTCAATTGAAGAACAGAGAGGGTTAAAAACCAGTCATGACTGTACACTTTTAGGCTTTTAGGCTCCCTGAACTCCATGAACGTTCTTCTGTACAGAGCTTGAAACATCATTTCACAGAGAGCCCGCACGGTTAGATATATTGAAATATAAAAATCGAAAAATAAGTGGCCATAAGCAGAAAACAGAAAAAGCATTGAATAAAACATCTGTTTTTGATAAAAGACCTTGTTACATGAAGAAGTATTTCTTATTTACCAAGTCTTAGCCTTGGGAAGGAAAAACATCATTTCTAACATACCCAACTGTCGCAAAGATCTACTTTCCCGGGCCCGATGATGGCGCGGCATAGTCTCTGCGCTGGTAATTATTTCTTTACAATGAGCTGAGGGTCAGGTCCTGTGCCCCGCGTATATTGTACTCATCCTTCTGCTATCCCGGGGCTTCTTCTATCCTCCTCCACTCTCCATCCGCCATGACCTTACATCTTCTTCTTATTTTATCTTACCCCCAGGCGATCTGTTAAACTCTCTTCCGTATCGTGTTGCAGTAAAGTGGATGAAGCGAACGGTTCACAGTTAAGAAAATTCACTTAGCCCTCTTCAGGAGATGTAAATTGTTGCTCCTTGCCATCCTAATTAATATGCCTTTTTTTCCTTATTCCATTATGCTTTGCTAATATCTCCAGCAACCTGTACCAGAGAGTTTGTGGATTTGGAAACCTCTGGTCAAAGCTGTAAATAGAGTAACTGGATTTATGAAATGTGGACATTTTATTACAAATACTGCAAAAATTGTATCGGCAAGTGGTGCAAGAATATCTGATTTAAAGTGAAGTTGTCAAGGAAGAAATAAACGCTTACAATGTAGAAATTTCTAAGAAAATTGCTTGTTAGTTGGCTGTAATGGTGACCTACTGGCTATGATACTTCCTCAGACACTGACCTAGGACAAGAGTGCAGGAACGTCAGGCCTACCTGTTTGGGTCATTGACTCTAAGTATTTAAAATGTTCCAGAGTTCATAATGACCTCCACTAGTTAAAGTTTGTGGTGTAGAACAGCCATTGGACTGGAAACTATGCAGGCACTATCAGATGGAAGGTAAGTTAGCCACAGCTCAAGGAAACCCTAGCAACCTCTGCAAGAACCTTAGAGTTTAATGGAACCTGGGCTGAAAATGACTCTACCATAAACTTTAACTTGAAATAAATAAAATGGGGTATGTAGCGCTAGAAAATAAATAACAAACAAAGAGGGTGTCACCGTATATAGTAACAATAATATTGGACATAAATTGTTCATATGGTGTATCTGGAGGGCAGATGGATACGATCCTGTGACGTTCCAGATCCAACTCAATAGAATGGAAAAAATAGTGCGGTTATGCGCTTACCACAAATACATACAATATGGGCATTGTATGTAAATCCTCAGCAACAGGACATCATGGTCTGGTTAGCAGCATGAGCAGCATCTGGTCACATCAGGACATCAGGGTCTGGTCAGCAGCGTGAGCAGTATCTGGTCACCATAGCGGGCATTCAGGGATGGTGGTGCACACCTTTTTAGGGGTCCTCTCAGACTCACCCGTAAGTCCAACGTTGTCCCAGCATCCAATGGTTCCTTATTCCAGATCACCACCTTGCAAAGCTTCTTCTGCTGACTAGGCAAGGTGGTGATCTGGAATAAGGAACCATTGGATGCTGGGACAACGTTGGACCTACGGGTGAGTCTGAGAGGACCCCTAAAAAGATGTGCACCACCATCCCTGAATGCCCGCTATGGTGACCAGATACTGCTCACGCTGCTGACCAGACCCTGATGTCCTGATGTGACCAGATGCTGCTCATGCTGCTGACCAGACCATGATGTCCTGTTGCTGAGGATTTACATACAATGCCCATACTCACTCAATGCTCACATTCTTTAAGGTACTGAGGATTACCCTGTATGTTAGCTGCTCACCCTGTCTGTGTTTGCACTCACTTACCTTACCCTTTACATAAACTTTAACTGATGGAGGTCATTATGGACTCTGAAACCATGTCTCCTTTTAAATACCTAGATTCAATGACCCAAACAGGTAGGCCTGACTTCCTGCATTCTTGCCCAAGGTCAGTGTCTGAAGAAGTATTACAGCTCACTATAAGGATAGCATTCTGATCATCACAGTAAGGAGCATTCTTCCCGCTGAACACCAATGCTAAGGGCTCACAGCATTTTTTCACATAATGACTCCAATGGCATTTTCACAATGACTCCAATGGACTCTTAGCAGGGGTTCCCTGAAACGTGAAATTTATTTTTAAGATTCTTCTTTAAGATTTTGAAAGGCTGGTATAGCATTTACCTTATCACAAGGGATGGGAAAAATTGTAAATATTGTGAGATTTCTGCAAAATGTAGCTTTTTTTGGCAAATTGCATTGGAGTCAGTAAGGAAAGAGAAATAACAATGTTTTTTAATCACTTGACCTTCAAAAGTTTTTTTCCTTTTAACAAAAAATACTCAGGTTTCAAAGGACCTGAGTGTAGTTTTTTTTTTGCTATTCAGCACTGTGCTACTTTAACTGGCAATTGTGCAGTCGTGCGACACTGCATGCCAATAAAATTAATATCATTTTTTTTCACACAAATAGAGCTTTCTTTCTGTGGTATTTGATCACCAATGAGTTTTTAAAAAAATATTTTTGCTATAAAAATGTAGCACCCTCCTAGATAGGTGCTAGGTTTAGATAGAGAGATTTAGATTGCATTTTGATAGGTAAATATAGTTGTCACACTTTAGTCAGTGTGGTTGTAATTTTTTTTAGGTAAAAGCATAACTTGCACACTGTAATCAATGCAGTAGGTCTGTTTAGTATGGTCAGCTGCTGCCAGCCTGACAGCTCCCTCTGCATCCAGAAAGCTTGAAAAACTTCTGGATAATAGATGTAGAGCTATGCAGATGGCAGCATGGATATTGATACAGCCCTGGCCTATCCCAAGCATGCTGGAAGGCTATATATATTCTGTGAGCACACTAAGTTCTGGGTCTTTTCCTGTGTATGATTGGTCCCGCCTGGAGGGGGCATGCTGCTCTCTCAGGCAATACTGCTGTTTCTACTGCTGTAGGCCTCAGGTAGGCGATCTGAG